TCAGGTATGTTTAACAATGTCCCGTAGTTTTTCCGCTAAGCTTTGCTTCGTTTTCGAGATATTGCATATGCAGAAAAACCACTCGGTTTTCCTAGTGGCATCTTTATAAACGAAGCAAAAACCAGCGACAAAAATACAGGACCACGTTTTTCTATTACATTGAAGACCACATGCAAAAATTCAAGCCCTTTCGCGAAATTTTTTTTTTCACCCAAATTGTCACTTAGCATGGTTTTGCACTCACCCCTTCAATTAAAAGCTACGCCATTTTGGTACTCAGTCATGACCTCCAATCATGAAATAAAGTGAGTCAAAAATTTCACGACTTTCGTCAGGCAATGTCCCATGACCAACTCTTACTTCCAGCACTGTTGAAAATTTTGTTGCAGAACTTTGTTTGATGTTTCAATGTAAGATTGACATCAGTTGTTCTCAAAGACTATTTGATTGGTCAGCTTTCTTCTACGTGGCCCAGTTAAAGTTGCACTTTTAAAGTTCTCTTCTTAATAAAGAACTATTAACAAAAGAATTATTTAAATATGACTTGCTAACCCACTGGTGCCTGTGCCAGCAGTAACCAGCCATGTCAAAACCACCCCCAAATTCCTGTGCCAGCTGTAACTGACAGTAAAAAAAACATGTGAGCACAATTGACTTTCCTACCCTTCCTGAAGACTTTTTGGTTTTCCCATTGCTCTATTGTTGTTGAGAACAAATATAAAAAATCAGAATCGACTTTCTGAGAAAATTGTTTTGAAGACTTAGGGGGTCCTAGAAAGACAGTCTTTTGTCTTGAAATTGTGTGCTCAAAATGTGCTTGTATTCATGACGCATTGTAGATCAAATCTACAAACTTCCAAGGTCTTGTTTTTGTTCCTAACATGGAGAAATAACTTCTTTGGGACTTACAAGTAAATCGAAAGGAGAAATACAAATCTATGTTTACAGTAACTGTTGATTTCACATTACTTTTCCATACCGCATTGTGAAGTTCATTGGGAAGTTGGATACTAGATTACAAAGTAGCCAATTATGTGGCAAATTAGACAATGAAATTGCAAACTTTGAATCGTAGTTCCCAAATTCAGCTGCACCAGACTTCGCAACTTCACATCATTGTGTAAACATAGGTAATTTGCCTGCAAAGTGATGGAACCTAATCCCTTTATTAAACAGGTCTGACATGATTGCAGAAAAAAGATTAGAGGGTTCAAAACCATTTGAAATAGCGCAGCAGTTTAATTTACCGAGAAAGACAGACAAATAGTGTAGATTGGTTTGTATGTGCAGAAAGTGTTCAACCAGGAGTTGGTGGGAATAGGTCGAAAATTGTCAAAAATCACATTGTCTTAGCCGTTTATGTGCCATCCCAAGCTTCAATATTGCATTAGGCAGAATAACCCCCAACATGTCAAGAAATTTCATCAGGCACTGTGGCTATATTGACTGATAAATGTGCACGCTACTTTCTGACTGATTTAGGATACGTGTATTTGGAAATTAAGCATTTGATAATTTCCCCTGGAGAGCTACTTTGCATGTAAGCTTAATTTATTCCCGTTGGATTTAGAACTTGGATTTTCATGTTTGTTTATTAAGAAATATGTAGATCCAGGAAATATCCATACCCCCACCATGGGGGAGAATTTCACATGAGCTCCTCTCCCCTCCTCACCGGAATTTCCATTTTTTGAACACAAAAATAACCCCTCCACCCCTCTGGAATTTCCACGAGTATTATGCACTCCCCCCATAAGTCCCAAATGTGCGCAGATGGCTAATGTGAAACTGCTAACCGCAAACCGAGGCTTGCCGTTTGTGGTAAGATCGCCAAACCTCGATCTTAAGGTCTCTATTGTTTACATTGCACACTTACCAAAATTTGCAAATACAAGCCCTTTGCGCTTGCTCTCAAGTGGAAAATTGAAAACAGAAAAGTACCCTTGGATCAAGGAAAAGAAACAAACAAGCCCAAAGAAAGAAGGAGGGACCCATTTCCGTGTAGGAAGGAAAACAAAAACACCTTTCTGAGGGCCACAAAGACTCTTCAAACAGTCTGCCTGAGCTGTCTGTACTTTGATTTGCTGTTGTGCTTATCGATACAATTGCTGGCTTTACTTGTCTTGCTGTGGGTTGTTCTTTTCCCTTTGGCTACTTTGCCCGTTTCAGTACCTTTCTCTTCAATGCGACAGCGAGATAGAAAATGAACTGCAATGCGATGCTGTTGTTCCACTGGTTTGCAGTTGCACAAAGTCAGATTTCCTGGCATGGCGCAAGTTGTTTACGAACCTTTACGAGCTAAAATCTTACATTTGATTTTGAGAGGAATATATCTACTTTGAGCAAATTTATAGGGTATGCAGATTTGACAGATTGTTGTGAAATTTCGCCAGAACATTCCAGGGATAATGACAAATGAAAGTCAGTTGGGAAAGTTTGGTATTTTACATATTTTTCCTGTGGCATACATTTATGCAACACATCTCGCATATTTTTAACTACATGTACTCCAACTTTAGATGTGGATATCTACACAACCAATCAGAATTTTGAAAAAGCCTGACACAATTTTGTTGATTGATGCCTTGTGAATAAGACTGTGCAGCCATTTTGCTTGTTTACTGCTGTTTTCTCAATGTTAGGCATTATGGTACAAGAATGCAAATTCTGTTGTATTTGGTTTTGTTTTGTCATCCGAAGTCAATAATAATTCATGTGTGCATATTCAATTTTATCAGCTTCTGTTGGGTATTTTGTCATGTGGCAAAGAAAGAATATAATTTCTTGATTTGTAATCAGTTTTATACATCAGGTTGAGCTCTTTTTGTCAGTATTTTAGCCCTCCATTTGTTCAATTTTAAACAAACGATGTCTTAAAACCTGATCTTGGGTCTGGTTACTGCGCATATAGTTCATTTTCATACTTGTGCTCACTCTGAAATATTTTAAAAAATGCCGGGGAATGAGGGGTGGGTCATGTGCAATTATCCAGCCGTCAATGGGTTAAGAAGACTTTTGCTTCTCATAAATTAAAGTACATGTAGCTCAGGTCAGTTGCGGAGTCTTAACTGGTCAATAACTGCATGATGAGGAATTACTGTATAGGCTGCCACAGTTGTGCTGAAGCTCAAAATGAAGTTAAACCATGTACATGTATACATCAAAACAAATTCAGGAAGAATCCTGCTGACCTGTCTCGGAACCTGAATCCACCACCTCTTCTCATTCCACTCCCTCCTCCTCCACCGCTGCCCCCTCCACCACCTCCACTTCTTGAGGTTGGACGAGCATGTTCCACTGTAATCCTTGATGAACCAAGAAACAAAGTTAACTGCGACCTGCCTTCTGCTTCTTTTGATATACATATACATTACATATTTTGGTATGTATTGGTGACTTGTGTTAAAATGCATCCCGAAGGATGCAATCGTCCGAAGGAAAAAAGATGACAGCTGGTACATTTACCCTGGCGGGGGGGGATACTTTGGGAATTTCTGGGTGGGGATGTGCCGCTGGGACCCTGGAACCCTTAGCCTATACCAGAGCTAGTTCAGCTGAATTTTGCTACCCTATACTAGAGTAACCTCTCCAAATCCCCCAATCTATCGACACTATTGAGGCTGATTTGCATAAATTTAAACTTGCCGGTTTGATTTTTTTATATTTTTGAGTGGCAATTCCAGGTTTCCTTAGTCTAGATAAAATCTTCAACCAAATAGTCAGTTTTGTGAAAAATTATACCCTATTCTAGACCCAAACGCTCTGATTTATATACCCTATCCTAGAGTAAACTGCTTGAAAACCATACCCTTCACAGCGGCATGTACCTATATAGCCCATATACGGCAGTGCCCCTCCCCCCCCGGACATTTACCCATAATTCTAAGTCCATAAAAACTTTAACGCTCATAAATTACAGAGAGGTTCTAATATCTTTAAACCTAGCACACACTACAGTACCACTCAAAAGTAAGTTACCACCTTTCGTCTCCTTTCTCTCGATACATTTCTTGTTTCTTGCGAGACGCGTCTCGTTTCTCTCGAGAATCACTGAAGCCTTTAGTATGGCATATATTACGCATAAAAAACCGGTTTTGTGTAATGATTGCTGCTCTGCAGTTCCTTGTCAAATCGATGGGACCGTCAAACAAAACATGCATCGATCTTTTGCTCGATTCATATTGAACAAAGGTAATATCGAACATCGAACGTAACTACAAGTAGAGTTACGTGCGTTTCAATTCATGCGATCATGGGGGCAAAGAGTTGATTTTGTGAATCTTGCTCACTCCGAATGATTCAGTTACCTACATTTGCTCGCTCTTCAATAACCACTAACTCAAACAAACATTTAATTTTGTGTAGGAGAAAAATGTTCCGGCTTTTGGCATGCACCGGCGAGTCAATTGTTTATAAATGGGAGCCATAAAAGCGTCATGGAAGTTGTTGAAAAAATGATATCTCCGGTTCTCTTTGGCATAAATCGTTCATTCAAACGCCAAAATACTATATCTTTGAAGACAGGAGTTTTTTATCAAGGTTTCTGAGATGCGCCGTTTACATTAGTTTTAAATTGTTCTGCTGGCGCGAGTTCTTCCTAGTGGTACGCGTCGACGAGTCAACAACATAAATGAACTTTATTGTTCTCCAAAACGTCAAGGCAAACACTTAAAATATGTAAAGTTCTATTTGGCATAAATCGTTCATTCAAACGCCAAAATACTATATCTTTGAAGACAGGAGTTTCTAATACTGTTTATGTGATGCCACATTTACATGAAGTCAATGTTTCTGCAAGGGAAAGTTCTGTTTAGCTGCAGTCAATTTAATACCCCAATGAAGTTTGTTTTGCAAAGCTCTGGGGCAAAAACATCGCCGGTTCTATTTGGTATAAATCGTTTTTTCAAATGGTACAATACTCTCTCTTTAGCAGATAGAATTTTTGTTGCTCGACAGAGAAGATTTCGAACGGTATGTGAGAAAACATTTTATATATCGGTTGATGCAGGGTTGAGTAATAATTAGTTGAGGTTTCATGATCAAAGCATGGTTTTGCATGTTCACAAGTTTGAAGAAAATGTTATTCGAGGTTTCATGATCAAAGCGTGGTGTCGCATGTTTACAAGTGTGAATAAAAAGTTAGTCAAGATTTCATGTGCAAAGTGAGCGTTCACAAGTTTGAATAAATAAGTGAAGGGAAGTGATTTATGATCCAAGTGTGGTTTCACATGTTCACAACCTTTGAATAAAAAGTTAATCGAGGCCTCATGTGCAAAGCATGTATTCACAAGTTTGAATTTTAAGTTATTCGATGGATCACTTAGGGTCGTTTTGCATGGTCAAAATTTTTGGATAAAAAGTTAGTTGAGTTTCCCAACAAATCAGTCGGGAGCAGGGGTGGCGCTGCTGTGTTGACTTATTGATCACGATCGTGGCTTTAACTTGCAACATGTAAATTGCATGTGACAAAACTCTACATGTTGTTTCATGAACACTACATGTTGATTATCAACTGTATGAATCCTGTTTAGGGTTGCAAACAAACCTTGTTTTAAGATCTATACAATACGAGAATTGATACAACTGTAAAACATATTTGTAAACACGAGTGACTGTTGCTGACGATTCAGATACCTTCAACTTTTATCATGCATGTATTTACAAAAACTAAGTGTTAAGCACGTCTGGCTGGAAAAGGTTTGGCCGATGTATATGAAATAATATTGGACGCTTGAGAATTTATAATACACACACGGTACACATGCACTGCTGATGAGAACGAAAATCGTGTCTACCGCGCTAATCGATATGATACGATACAGACGTCTTATACACAAAACAGGTTTCGAATACCAATGAATGCAAAGTATTGGTACTTCCAGTGCACTCGCGAGAAACGAGTCACGTCTCGTACTCGTCTTGTTTCTTTCGAGAGGAGTCTCGTGAGATGGTGGTAACTTACTTTTGAGCGGTACTGTACGTTGTTAACTAGCCCTGGGACAAATATTGCAAAAATATGGCGTTCCTTGTACTTTGTGGACTGTGTAAACAGACTCTCAGGTAGGTGCAAGTTGTAAACTTGGGTCTACTTGCAACTCTCTTTGGTCAGGCCTTGTGAGCACTTATGTTGACTGGCACTTACTTTGGTTGAGATCAAATTTGCACACAAGTCAACGTAAGTTTTTCACTGTTTGGCCACCCAACCTACGTCAATGCAAGTTGAGTGATGCCCATTTGAGTACGTTTGGTCAGTCCTTAAGGCTTACATGGTATTGTTGGCAAAGCTTTATTGAGCAGATGAGACATAGTTTAATCATACAAAACTGTTTAAGTGGTCATGTTTATAGGTTTACCTTTCATTAATCATACAATGTCTATCGTGTGAAACATGGAATCCTCACCGAAAAGGAAAGGGATAAAAAGTTCTTAATTTGACATACCTTTCTCCCATGAATTCCTTGTGGTTCATCTCGTAAACAGCATCATCAGCATCTTTATAATCTTCAAATTCCTGACAATTTCCCCAAAATAACATGTACACGTAATTACGTAAGTGACAATTCACCTTGGGTTAAAACATTGCTCGTATACATGTATGCAAGCTTAGGGATGGTGTCCTCAAGCAGTTTAAAGGCCTTGGGAAGCTATAACTCTTGTTATATTTGTTTCACTGAGCTAAAATTTTGTTTTGATCATATGACCAATTTGTTAAAATTTAGTAAATCAGTGAATTGGTCATGAGTTTTAACTATATTGAACAATAAATGAGCATTTTTGATGCAAATTTAAATAATCTACCTCGCTACGTTTGGAATAATCTTCCTTCATTTCATATTTTAGAAGATATGAATGATCAAAGTCAAATTTTGTTGAAAAAAATGACCTTTATCCCTATAATTTTTTTCTACAGAATGAGGGAAGATCCAAACGTGAGAAGATGCAAATAATTGACCTACATCTAAAATGTGTTTTTGCTGGATATTACTAAAAACCACCACCAATCCCTCAAGTAAAGGCTATTTTCCGCTAAATGTCACGTGACCTGCCAGATGCACTGATTCTACTTTCAATTGTTCAGGACATTAAAACCTAATGGTGCTAAATTTGGTTCCATTGTCATTTATTTTTTTTGTATTTTTTTTCCATTGTGATTTATGACCTCATCAACTCTTTGAAACAAAAGAACCAAGACTTGAATGACGAAATTTGCATCTTGAGGACAAGGTTGAATCAAGAAATTGACGCAGCGAAAAAGCTTACTGAAGAGAGGGATTCCTTGAAAACTGCACTACAAATTGTTACGAAAGATTTAATGAACTTGTCAGACGATAGGCCAATATCCCGTTCTGATCAGGTAGGTGATGATAACAGGTCTCAGTTCAAAAATGTTTCTGGCGGCGAGAAGACAAAGAAATCGAAACCTCGAGATCCAACTCAACATGTCAACCATCGGAATCATTTTGAGCCCCTGAGACATGAGGATTCGGTGATAGATTCTACACCTTCTAGTAATGCAGACAAGTCATTCACAACTGTCTTGGTGGGCGATTCTATGATAAAACAAATACAGGGACGGAGGCTGGGTAGGAACGTCGGCCATCGTGTGGTTGTTAAATCTTTACCTAATGCCTACTGTCGACAAGAGCCCTCAACAGATTATTCTCCACGTGGGAATGAACGACCTACGTGACCATACTCCAACCGTGGTAGCTGAGAACATTATGGACCTTGCCAGGAAAATTGAAATGGAATCCAATGCTGAAGTTATCTTATTGGAGCTGGTGTCAAGATCAGATAATGTTCCAAATGATGCTGTGAAAGCTGTTAACAAGCGCCTTATGAAATACTGTAATCAAAATGACTGGAGAATGATTAAACATCAAAACATCAACAGAAATTGTCTAAATAAGAGCAGACTACATCTCAATGAAAAAGGTAATAACATCCTTTTTAGTAACTTTGTGAATGCCTTAGATAATAGCTCCATGCACTGAATTCCTATTTCCAAGGGTGCCGATCAAACCTCTGCGGCCAAAGAAAATTTCAATTTCTCTTACGAGTCTTCTAGGGCCGATGCAATCTCTGTAGCGGAAGAGAATTCAAATTTATCTCGTGAGTCTTCTGCCTTTTTACCTTCAATGCGTGGCTTTAAATTAGCCTCNCATTTTTTTTTATTTAACAGCTTTAACAGTTGATATATCTTAATTTGTGTGACATTATGATTGGTAATCGAACAATTGATCTTAAATGTAACTTCAGCGGAATATAAGATCTTTCAATTTTGACGTGCATTTTCTTGTCTGCAGGAAACAACCTGCTTTGAGAGTTTCTAACTTTTATCCCTCTTGGTTGCTGGTCTCTAGGTAAGTATGGGTCAGGTAAGTTGTTTCCACTGATCCATTCAGTGTGACGGTGCCAGTTGGATACCTCCCCTTCCGCTTATGGCTTCTGCTCCCCGCTAACCTTTCAGGCACCAGTTCCCAAGCTCATCTATTTGTGATGAGTTTAAAGGAAAAAAAATTGTCCCCTTAGCCGATTTTTTAAGGGATGATTTCAATTGCACTGTGGGATTTGTGCAATTGTCTGGCCTGGCTCAAACCCTGAGATAACAGTTGGTTTTTCAGCTGAAAGCCATTAACCGTTAGTGGTTGGCAATATGCTGCTATCCTGGGCCTGGTTGTTCAAAGCTCAATTATGCTAAACCACGATTAACAAGGATTTTGATTTCAGTTTTGTAACTTTTCAGTGAGGTTTTCTGTTTATAATGTTTGTCCTTCAGTTTTGAACTTGACTAAGCTTAAACTACACAAAATGTTAGCAGTAAAAAACACTTTTATACAAGAAAAATTAATAATAGTTAACTTTTAATCCTGGGTTAGCGTTAACCAACATTTGAACAGCTCGGCCCTGGGACCCGTTTCTCGAAAGCCCCGGAAACTTTTTGGGTCCGCAAAGCCATTCTTAGTCCATCTGTATCTAAAAACAGAGAAGTGTATACACCTGAAACTTCTTGTATGAAGGGAACTTCCCTTCATATTAAGAATATGTGAATAAAACAGCTCTGTAATCGTAAGGTTCGAGATTTTGCTATGGCTTTATGGGCCCGAAAAGTTTCCAGGGCTTTCGAGAAACGGACCCCTGGTGGTGCAGTTGATTATGACAATTTCAACCCTAGCTTGTGGTGTGTAAACCATGCTTTGCATGATGCAGAGAACGTGTGCGCACTGACAAAGGTAGGCATTGTCCTTAGAGAAGTTAACACATTATTTGAGAAGGTTCAATCATACAATCTACGTGTACATGGCTAAAAGGACTTTAGGGAAAACGGTTCATACACACACCACATTCGTTTATAACAGACGTCCTTGGGAAAGTAATTGTGTGCTTATATGAAGACTTAAGCTATAAATAATTACAGACCTATCTGTACGTACCACAAAGCCAAATCCGTTCTTCAAATTTATGTCTCGGATACGTCCAAATCCTCGAAAAAACTTCTCAACGTCTCTTTCCTTGATATCCCGAGGTAGACGACCAAGAAAAACCCTTGGAGCTCTGTCTCTGCTCATGATTGCTTACAATAATGTTTAAAACAGACGCGAGACAACGCCAACCTTCTCGTAAAATGGATGTGAGGGAAAGCGAGTATATGCTATCCCGACAGGCCTTTGCACGACCCTTTGCGCATGGACCGGAAGCGCGTGACATGAATAACCAAATGTAAACGTCAGATTAACCGCGGGCGCAAGAATATCTTTTTTTCATCAACCAACGCGACACTGCAAGTGCAACACTGAAGAAAATTCAAGAAGGTGGAAACGTTATATAGTGCTACGTTCTGTTCAAGATAAGGAGATCTGTGTAAATGAGCGAACTAACACCTGACGAGGTATGCCTAGTAGGTTTTTCATTGTTAATGGTAACATTTTATATTCTCAGTTGAAAATTCTTTGTCAGTAAAATGTAGCTCCACTCGTTTGTGCACCTCTTAAAGCTGTTATGTTTAGTATATCATAAGCTGACATTTCTTAAGCCAAGTTTACTCTAGTCTCGTTTTCATGACTGTTGCAAACGTGGTTCCAGTTTATAACAACTACAGTCTCTATTTTACGTTGTTTTCTGTAATAGCAAAATGCGTTTTTGGTGTCAAGTGCTTTAGCAACAGCGAAAACAAATTCGAAAAATACGTGCCATGCGGAGCCCCATTATTCTCATGTTCAAAGCCTGACTGAGCTAACCCAGGATAAACGAGAATTTTGATTTGAGTTTGTAACTCTGTGGTGAGGTTTTCTGTTTATATTGTTTGGCCTTCTGTTTTGAGTTTGAATAATCTCAAACTACACAAAACAAAAGCACTAAAAACATTTTTATACAAGAAAAATTTATACTTCAGTTAAATTTCAATCCTGGGTTAGCATTAATAGGCATCAAACTTGAGCCAGCGATATGGTCGTGTGATCTTGTTCAGCAGATACCTTGTTTTGACAGGTGCCAATTAACCATAACATAGCCAATAGCAAAGATGTACGCTGTAAATTAAGGCCGCATTTACTAGAATGCGTATGTGCCCATGAGCTATGCTGCTAGCCATGATAACCATAAGAAAGTCTACTCATGAGTGTCCTTTTCTTCAAAAAGATGGCTCTGAAACCAATGTACAGATTTTTTGTGGTTACTGGTATGTCATTGGGTCTGTTAGTGAGTAAGTTAGTAAACTTGTGAGTAAGAAAGATAGTCCGTGACTTTTCAGATCTAACGAAGCAAGGCCGAAAAAACCTCCAGATTTGCTTGAGTTCTTTTAATTGATTTTCACCTTTAAAACGCAAGTATTAATGAAAATAACTACTTTTACTGTTTAAACTTGGTTCCGTTTAATTTGATACCACTGTTGGAGTGAAAAAATTGTGAATTTACTAGCAGAAAGATAGCATTATGGGAGCATTACGGAGCGTTACAAATGAATACAATCTCTAACCGCTGACTGCGCGAAGGACATTGCAGTGTTGTTTTCCCACACTCTTTGACATGACATGACATTGTTTGGATAATCACATACCTGGTATGTTGGTGAGTAGCCGCAATGTTTTCTCAGATTTCTACCTTTCTTTTCACTAAGAATCTTGCAGGATTTTGAGCGGTTTCTGAAAGGTTTTGATTGGAAATACAATGGTTACATGCCTTGAAAGATCATCCATCAACCAAATAAATGGACATTCTCAAATTGATGTTTATTTCATTTTCTTATACTACCCAGAATTAGACAGTATGTTTGTTTCATTATATATACTTGTTTCAATTACAAATTGAAATTGAAAGATTCACCTAAGTCAGGATTCCTTAACAGGATAATAAAAAGCTCTACTGGCAAAAAGCCATCTGAACCAAGTTGATAAGATCTCTTTATACGCAATATGTGAACTTACAAAGGAAAATGTGCACTAGCCCTTATGCGTTAAACGGATAAAAAGATTTATCATCCATTTGTTATCTGTTTGTAATCTGTTTAAATGTTTCATGAAAACTGTTTCAAGCGTTAGGCGAAGCGTTTATCCTTACAGTCAAACCATTTGAATTGCTTTCCCAACTGTTCATAACTTTTTTGTATCCGATAAAACAGAAAGAGGTATCAGTTAAGAACATCTTGGTATCCATTAAAATGGCTAAAGCAATCCGTTGAAAAATCCAAGCATCCATTTAAACGGCAAAAGCAATCTGTTAAGAAATCTTTGAATCCGTTTTAACGGTTTAACTGGAAGCGTATTCCATATCCATTAAGAAACTCTTAGAACCATTATAAAAACGTTTTAGCAAACATTTTAAACTTATTGTTAAGACGACCAAAGACAGTGTTAACCAGAAGCTACAGAGTTCAGAAGACAGACAGAATGGAACGGTAAAACAACTTGTGGAACTGAACAGGAAACCGTGATATGCATGTAAATAAATCAAGTTGGTGTCTCGTTCGCGAAAGCTTGATTTACAACTGTCTTATGTCTTATGTTTTGTTGCATGTTGAGTTTTTAAAGTTAGCTTAACTTAGTACATATTTTTGTTTCCTTCTTTTATCAAAAACAAAAGAATCGAAATGAAAAACTGTGGTGGTCAAATGAAAAGAAGAACAGCTGTGTTTGGGTCATGTGAATTCACGTAAAACTACGGTATGCGATGTGCCGCTTTGTTTACAGTGTTAGAATTATATTATACCAAACATACCTTTCTGGTAATCAGTCCCCTGTTTTCTATTTTGTGTTGAATCATACTGAGGTTGTGGACAGTATATAGAGCTCGAAATGCATGTCAGTCATCATCCAAGGAGTGACATTTTAGGCTATGAGCAAACCTTCCCTACCCCGTCCAGGAAAAGTTTTTTACTTGCGTCACAATTAAATTGAATTGAATTTGCTTTGAATTGAATTATATCATCTATCCAGTTTACTAATGATTAGTTACAATCATTCTTACTGCTTTCAAGCGCTTATAATTCAATGTATTTTGGCTATTTTGCTGACTGTGTGCCAAGTCAGTGACCCTTCAATCAAAAAGTTGACTGTTTGAAAAGTTTAGCTAAACATTCAAATGCTTGAAGTCATCTGTTTGAACACATGAGATAACCATTTAAACACTTCAAGTCATCTGTTATAAAATTTTTGCTAACTGTTCGAATGCTTTGCCAAGCCGCTCAATGCTGAGATTCAGTTACTGTTAAAATGTTTCTAGGAAACATTTAATGCTTTTATAAAGGTATCTACTCTCCATTTATTATCCTTTTACTATCCGTTTATTTTAGGCAGTTTAATATTCAGCCAGTACAAAAGAATTAGAACTTGTCCGCTCCTTGAAAACACGACATTCATATCAAATGTTGTCGTTCAAAAGGTAACAACAGCAATGAACAATAACCAAGCTCATACATACTAATGCATTAACTTGAATGCGCTATATCGCAAAGACAAAACGCAGTCTAATGGAGCAAAACGTACGTGCACATTAATCTACTTGCTTGTTACTGCATTATTAAAGCGAATTTTGGTTCGCTTAGTTCTGAGTGGTACTGTAAACCCATAACTTAACCCATGACATGCTGTTGTTTGCACTGGCCAGTCAGTTACATGTATAATACAAGTTATATGCACATGTTTTGTTAAAAGATATTGAGCAGTTTCTGGTTAATAGAAGTGTTGTGTTGTACATTTCTCGTTTGTAATTAATGTTCGTTGCTTACATGCTCTCTTACAATTGCAATGCGTCAATATATTACAAATTCCCACAATGAGAATCAATTCATCCCAAATGTAACACAAAGGCCTTTGGCCACAAAACACTCCTTCACCAATGGCCTTAAAGAAGATACTGCTGATTACTGCAACTACATGTACTCAAGATGCATAGAAACAACTAGCTAGCACTAGACACACGTATGCAATTGCATACATGTTTTTAGGTGTGTGTCTTGGCAAGCATGTTTTCGTAACAGTGATGTTGTTCCGACCTGTTCTTTTTAGTAAGTACAGTGTAGATCATTTTGGCAAAGCAATCCCATAGAGCTACATTGTACTCATAGCGGCTCTCCCGATAGCAACTGCACTTTATGATTATGTCTATTAAGGTTACTACTACATTCATGGACTGTGTTTTAGCCTTTAAATTTTTTAAGCTTATGTGTAAACTTAGGTTTATATAATGATTATTCACAATAATTGTTGCCATACTTCAACTCAACAACATTTGTAGGTTTTTGACTGTGATTTATTCCATAACTCCAGCCAGTTTTTACAAAGCCAAAAATTCTACATGACTTAAACCATTTGCATAATCCAGATTACAGAGTTTCTTACTTAAAGCACTTCATATAAGGTCCACGTAATGTCAAGTCCAATTGAAGATAGAAACCTATAGTTCTGCGGTGGTAAGATCCTCCCCCCTTGTTCAACCCATCTAATTGGGCAAATGATCTTCAAGTAATGCCAATTTAGTTACAGGATGTTTCATTACACCAAGCTTGGTCTTTCCTTCAGCCGATCGTACAATGTTGTTATGTCCAGGAAAAACTTAAACAATCCTACCAAGAGGCCAGTAACCTCTTGGGACTGCGTAATCAACAATAAAATTATTACAGTCAACTCTCCGCTAATGGACACTCTCATAAGTGGACAGTACTACTTTCCGACACTGTTTTCAATTCCTCTTTTTACCTCCCAGTCAAACTCTGTATTTGCACATTCCCGTATGCAGACACTCTCTCGTAAGTGGACGTGGACACTTTTGAAAATGAAAAATTGGAGTTTTCTTTTGTTTATGCTCTCTTGTAAGCAGACACTCCAGGTGTAATAACTGACACTTGGCAATGAAATTTGTCTTTAATTTGCAATTAATCAACGGAGAACTGTCCGTTTGTTTGACAAATAAAGAGTCCGATGAGTAACATTTTGTAGTGTCACATTATGGTGACACTACATTTCTGTTTTCAATCACTGAGTTTACTGAGCGCTATATCCCAGCTAATCAAGCTTGGACTTCAGCAACGGTAATGATTCTTCAACATTACCATGAAAAAAGAGAGTTTCCAAGCTGTACCCAGCTCCCCTGTCGACATGTTTGCCTGTTATAATAACTTTCCCTTTATTTGTTCTGCGCTTTAAAAACTTGGTGA